AAAGGAAAGGAAAGGAAAGGAAAGGAAAGGAAAGGAAAGGAAAGGAAAGGAAAGGAAAGGAAAGGAAAGGAAAGGAAAGGAAAGGAAAGGAAAGGAAAAAAAATTTGCAGATTAGGAAGTGAGAACCAGAAACCAAATTCAGGCTCCTGGAATTTCCCGTGAACAGCGACAATTCAAAAGCACCAAGAAGCAATGCTTTATTTTGAACCCCGAGGACACGAGTATTTAAAATTGAAATTTAAAAAAGTTTCATATACCTCACAGGTATTCCAAGAGTCAGCAATACCCATCACTCACTGGAGGAAATTTTTAGTCTTTCCTCTAGGATGACACAGTGTTTTTTCTCTGTTTCAGTAGCTTCTGAAATAAAAAGGTAAAGAAGGGAACAGTTTTCAATCTCTGTTTGTTTCACCCTGATTTTTGACACTGTAGGAACTGTAAAATTAGTGCAAATGGACATAAACACAAGTGAGGAAACCTACCAAGAATCTTTGAGGTATCACTATACACCTTCTTTGGTTCAAGCATCTCAAGTTTCATGTGTGTCTTAAAGGGCTTTAACTGCTTTACTGAAGGTATCTTTTATTCCTCTAGCTGACATTTTGGTGCGCCAGAAATTTTGCCCACTAAGAATGTAGTGGCAATAAATTGCATTATGAATATTCTACTGAAATTAATACACAGAAATGTTGGTTTTAACCAGAAATGATGTTAGGATGACTTATTCTACTGTACTAGCATTTAATGGTCTTTTCTATGAACATAGTCCCTCCAGCTTATCTTCTCACTAACTCACTAACACGGGTTTTTTAATGGTCTCATGTTACAGAGACAATATCTTTTTTTTTTTTTGCTAGCACCAGGTGAATAACAAGCAATGTTTATCAGTTCTCTCTTTTTTCTGATAGTTCTCTCTTTTTTCTCCTTTGTTTCACCTCTTGCTTCTACTTTTTGTTCCTTCTATTGCTGTCTTCTTAGCTGAAGTCCTTTTCATCCTATCTGAGCAGATGTTTTATATTCTTAAAATATTTTTTTCTATTTATATCACTCTTCTTATCCTTCTATAGACACTTGCTGTGCAATTTCTCAGGAAATGCTGGCAGTGAGAGAAGTGAAAAACTCAAGTACAGATCTCCCTTTTAATTCTTTCAATTACTCAGGCAAGATTTAGAAACCATATATTTTAAGGCCTTATTTCACATTTTGAGGTAGAAAGAAGTTGCATGTACATATGGGAATATACTAAGTATGGAATGAAGCATAAAATAGTTTACAAACAGGATTGTTAATGATTTGTTGACTTCAAATCGGAGATCAGATCAAAATGCAGTTTTGGCATTTCCAAATCTATGTTATAGGGCAGTTTCAAAGATGATTCCTTCTCCCAAGAAAGATCAACAGGTCAAGGCACTGTATTAGTAGGCAGGCAACCTCATTCATTGGCTTCTGTGTCTTGAGAGCTTTTGTTCAGCAAGCCACAGGTGCAAGTTAAAAAGCCATCGCCTAAAAAGTGAAGATGAGAAACTCACTTCTAGCTTTGACCTCTTCAGAGGTCATTGAATAACAGAATTTGAATCTCAGGGGCGACAGAGCAATGAAACCTCTGGCTTGCAAAATATTAAGGGAGATAATGCTCATTTGCTGACAAAGCACTGAAAAAGATAATTTGGTTTGGCTTTTCATCTAGAAATTCAGACTACACAACTGAGATTGATATGTCTTTATTCCAAGAGCTACATTCTACTTTTTGTCACTTAAATCTTTATAAGGACTTGTGAGATATTATCTGCCATTTATAGGGAAACAAAAAATACATCAGATTTATTTTCTCTTACCCTTCTTATGGTTGAAAAATGCAAAGCTAAAATTTCAGTATAAATTCAGATACTGTGAATTTGGAGGTATGTACCTTGGGAATTTAGTAGGTCTCTGAATTACAAAATTATCTTGGCAAAATTAATATGCCTGTGAATGGATTTGATAATTGAATTCAGAAAAAAAATACTGCTTGAAATAACTGAATTCA